TTCGATTTCATGTTCACCCTAAAAAAGATGCCTTGAAGCTTCACGTCTTAGTTCGTATGATTAGAATGCCATGTCGACATGTATTGGATCTGACTCCAAGATGGACCTTATTCGCAAACTTAATATTACCCCTAGGTTGTTCCCATTGGTAACCTTCGTACTCTACCCGATACTTCCTTGAACAGCAACTCAAATAATGGCCTCAAGAGAAATATTTAATCCAGATGTAACTGTGAGATCCTTAACACGAGCCTTCAAGTCCCCGGAAAAAGTCATGGCATCCCGAATACGACTTACTGTTCATATTCATAGAAGTAAGCTAAATACTGCCCAAACATTTACTCCAACGGCAGCCGTCCGATTCATGATTCATGCTGATATTAAACTACACAAAACGATATCCACTAAGAACCACGATCCTTGCTGTCTTCGCTCTGGTGTTGCCCAAATGATGGCCCACAGCTTTTTTGGGATGATACCAAGATTTTTTGTTTCCCTCAGTATTTGTGTATGGCACCCGCTTTCCCATTGTAATGTATGATCATGTCGAACTTGCCCGTCTGCCTGTATGTACATCTGTGTGTATATACACATGCTAACCCGAAGGTTATAAGCCTGTACCAGATACCAACATAATGACGAGGATCGTTAACTGACTCCAAAGTCCAAACAACATCAACCCTAACCCTATCCTTGTCATTCGCCCGTCTCTCAATGGTGACCGCCCTGACAGCAGCCCTAAGGCCGTGCATAGAAGGCTTCGTACCACCCATGATCTGACCCGATGTTTCTCTTATGTAATTTGCAACCTTAGTCAGCTAGAAGAAGTCGTAGTGGTAGCTGTGATAACCCTTTCTGGGTCCTGGTCTGTGTTAAACCTGCAATACTATCTCTTTATTCACCAATGTCCCGCTTATTACATCGAATTCCAATAATAACGACACTCGAACCTTACTGGCAACACTAGTTCGTCACGTGCACAAGCACCACATCAAATGCACACTTTCTGCCAAGAAAAAAATTGTCTTTGGACCGAAGAACCAAATTTTCCTAGAAAAGAATGGTTTTGGATGGGAAAACCAACTTTTTCCTAGGAAAAAAATGGTTTTGGACCGGAAAACCAACGTTCTCCACGTTCTCCGAGGAAAAAACCAACAAAAACAGAGTCTTTTGGGAAACTACACGGCCAAAGACCAAAAGACAGGTTTTTGGCTTTCCCCTTTCAGGATTGGTATTGAACCGAAGAACCATCTGTTTCCTAGGAAAACTTGATATTTCGGCTCAAAACCTTTTCTTGCTAGGAAAAGATCGGTTTTCCTGTGCAAAACCATCTTTTTTTCTAGGAAAAAGATGGTTGTGGTATGGGAAATCAATTGTTTCCAAAAAAATCAACAAAATCATCTGTTTGGTCTGTGGCCGCATAGTTTCCCAAAGGATTGTGTTTGTGTTTTTTGCTTTTTCCTAGGAATCAAAAGGTTTTCCGGCCCAAAACCATCTTTTTCCTACGAAAAATTTTCGCTGGAAAAAGATGGTTAAAAAGTTGGTTTTCCGATCCAAAACCATTTCTTCCTAGGAATAAAGTTAGTTTGTCGGTCCAAAACCAACTTTTTCTAGGGAAAACACCCAAAAACTAGTTTAGGACTTTGGCCGTATCGTTTCCCAAAAGATTGGTTGGTTTTTTGATTTCCCTAGTGAAAGTTGTTCTTGATTGGAAGAGCACAGTGTTGGCGTGGAGTGCGTGCTGGCGTCAAACCTGAACGAGTTGTCTGGCACGTTCTATTGAAATGGGGTTTGGTTTGAGACGGTATTTACAATGCAAAACGAGGGTCTGTAGTTCATGGGGGGGGGTACCTTCCGTATATATATATATACACACACACACACATAAATACATAAATAAATAAATAAATATAAATATATATATATATGTATACAAGTATAATATATAGATATATAGATATATACATATATAATTATATATATATATAAGATATATAGGTATGATATATATATATATATAGAGAGAGAGAGAGAGAAAGAGTGACACAAGGGCCTGCTTTGACTCAGGGACTTGGTTTTGAGCGGTCCTTGGAACGATCTCCGGCTTCGGCGGGATGATTCGGTAGATCCTAGGAGAGGCGACTACAATCCGAGGAGACGCTTCGGACTGGAAAGCCAAGCGCCCCAGGCGCCTTATAGAAACTGCGGAGTCTCAAGAATAAGTCAAGCGCAGTGGTCGTCACATGGTTTTGCTCGCTGTGGCATCCTATACCAACGCGGATCACATCTTCGTCAATCCGTCGAGCAACGACTCGCCGTGATCCATGTACATGCTGTCGGAGATGCCCCTGGCAGGGCACGGAAACTGCGACAAACACCACGAAGGACACTTGTGTAAAACCTATACCTGGTAAAACACAGCAAGCACCAGAGGGAAGGGCTTGTTCCTGCTTCTTGTTGGTCCTAGCGGACTGGTAAAACCCGCAATCTTGCTGAACTTTGGCCTTGTTCTGACCTTGAGCGGTCTCTTCACAGAGCGGGGTCAGGTTGGATGGGGTCAACCTGTGGCCGACATCCATCCATCCATCCCTCCATCTAGCTAAGATTGGCCCAATGTGGGCATCCTCAAGACATGCTGGGAATTGCGTTGTCGCTACATACAAGCTCGCTTTTGGCTACGCTTGCACAATGTCTACAGTTTCGTCAATGGGAAGTGGTGCTTGCAGACGCTTCCATTACAATAGCCAGGATCGTCTATGACAAATTCCGGGCGCCAATCGCGAATCGGTTTCAAACAGGATCCCAGAAGCCTGGACGATCAAGTTCGGCTCCACAAGCAGGGTGGCAGGGGGCTTGGCAGACGGCTGCAGAACAAGACGTGCCGACATCTCCAACTTGCTAAATGTGCATCCTGACTGATGTGTTGCTCTCGGGCATCCCTCGCTGCACAAGATTTCGCACAGGGGCAAGTGCAAAAAAAAAGACCCCGCAGATTCGATGCTTGCGCCGAGGCCCCTCGCCGACCATGAAAGTTCGGCTCTTCAGATGAGCCTGCCATTGCGGCGTGATGTCTGCGCTGCCTACCTCAAGCACCCTTTCCAAGTTCAAAGGTGCCCTGAGGACGGTCGTCGGGCTTCCGGTGAGTTGCCTCCAGTATTGCCAAGATGTCCGCACAGTCCTTGGCATCGGGTGCCGTGGTTCGTGTGAAACTTAGCTCCGATTGCACGCTATTAAAACCGCTGCTCCAACCGATGAAGCATCGAAGGCTTGGGACCCGACACTGCTCTCTAGGAGGAGGTGCTCGACTTCCATCCTCGTGGCTTAGAGGTCCCGGCCCGCAAGCAGCAATGTATCTGAATTGGGCCTGACAAACTCAACATGCCGCCTTTCAAGGTTGTATGTCTTCTGCTGCAAGCCCCTAGCCCGTCAGCACCTGGGCCCAAATCCACTGCAATGGCCACATAACGCTCAGAGCACTGCATGGTCCAGTCGAGCCAGCAATCGACTTGGCCTGGAAAGTCGCTCATCGGAACAAGCCGCACTTACAGAAAGGAGCTTGAGGGTATGGCCACAGTGGCCTCCATGTCTGGGTTAACAACGATTCAAAGACAGCGGGAGATGCCTGAACGCGGCAGCAATGGTCTTGACCCTGCGAAAATCACTTGCCCCGTGGCATTGTGGCCTGCGGACCGGCTAAGTGAGGTTCTGAGTCCGGCTTCGAAGTTGTGGACCTGAAGCCTTCAAGGATTTCGGGATCGGAGGTCGTGCTTTCAGATCGGGGTTCGGCCGGCTCATCCTCCCAGCCCTGGGTCGGCCTGACTCAATGAAGTCGTTCCCCAGCAGCCCTGGCAGCAAAGGGGTGTAGCCTATTATTCATGAGGACTATAGGCCGCTGAGTCGCCACTGACAATCCCTGAAGCTATGCACTTGCAAGGCCCCAGTACGACTATGTGCGATTCAACTTGCTGGCCTGCTTCATGTCAGTAACATGTGGCAGGCATCTCATACTCAACACTCCTCTCCCCCGATCAATGCGTTCCTGCTGCTTTCGACATGCGTCATGGCAGCCAACCAATCGTTACAAGTATCTGGTTCCCTTTGAGTACATCGGCTCGATGATCGGCCATGATAGGCCCTTGTGGACCACGGGCCTTGAATCCAGTATGCAGAATGATGCGGACTGTTCGCGCCTGATTTGTAAGTTATGGGCTTCAGCCTCTGGGTTTCAGAGCTCTGGCTATGGACGCCCGTGAATGCGGACAGGCATGCCAGGACGCAGTGCCCACGGTCTACATGTCCCGGCATGACAAACATACCGAGCTCTTGTCGACCATTGCTCAAAGCATGCAGCTATAGAGCACGAAGATGCGGCCGCTGCAATGAACAATACAGTGCAATACAGACTCTGTATGTACATCTTCCCCTCATCGATCACTTCTGCATCCAGTTGTTGTGTGAGGTTTAGCAAGGTCAGACGCCAAGCAGGACGCCGTATGGCTCCAACTTTGTGAAGCCCTCAAAGGCGGCACATGGCGGCACCGTGGCCCCATCTCCGGGCACCGGGGCCACTCAGAAGTAGCATCTTTTGCTGCGGGTCCTGGCACTGGCAGTAGGGAAGTGCACACTGTAGATGGCTGTTGCTTGCCAGAAAACACCGCGCAGCTCTCGTCTTTTCGGTTTGATTAGTACTGCTGAAAACTTGGCTCTATATTAAAACAAATACAATTTCAGGCCCCCATAATGCTTTTAATTTAACTTTCAATTGTGGGCCCGAAACCGCAAAATCCCGGGGCCAGGGGTTTTTAGATGAGGGGTTTTATGTTACTGGGAACGATTATAAAATACTGGTGCAATGCTCTCCCCGAAAGTCCTCTGAATGAAACTCGGTTTTGGAAGACCGACTGTGACTATGTACGTAGCAGGATGCCAATGACAACAGCCGGCACAGGGTGTACCGGTGTACTGGTACCGCAGACTGCTTACTACTTGAGATCTGACTCTCATGACCATCCGGGAGGCCCGGCGAGGAGCGGGGAGCGCGTCACGGCACTGATGTGGCCGTCCATTGTCATGAACTCCCCCAAACCCAGGTCTCGGAGGCCGATCGCAGTCTGCGTTGGGTAGTGCGCTGCAACATGCCAGCTGCGTTGCATCAACTCTAGGAGCGTCCAATGAATCTCTCGAGAATGTGTCGAAATGTGCAACCTCCGAACTCGCATGGACAACCAGCTGAACATGTCCGGCAGCAAGGTCATCTCGGCGCCTTCGATGTCAATGTCAACCAGGTCCCAGGTTTCTGTATTGCCTAGCAAAGTCTTCAGCTGTGCTCCAGTTTCCAGAAGATCAGTGTGCACTGCGAACTCACAGCGCCCAGGCGGTAAGTTCATTGCCACATGTGTCTGCAACTCAGATCCATCTCCCATTGCAAAAGGTTCCACAAGCAACAGCATGCAGGGGACGTCGGGCGCTGCAAATTTCGCAAAGGCCTTTGCTGCACGCATCGCCCAAATTCCAAAGGCCCCACTGCCCAGCTCTGCCATTCGGAATGGGCGAGCAGCTTTTGCTGCTCGGAAAGCAACGGTCAGGCTGTCCGCCCACTCCAAATACTCTTCATCGAGCATCGGCCATGTCCGGGGAAGAGTTTTCCCTGACTTCAGATACTCACATGGCATGGATCTGCCTGGCGCAAACAAGTGAAGTGAGGAGTGCTCGCAGTCGACGTGGATGGGCATCGACACACCGAGGAAGTCTAGCATGAAGCCTTCTTGGCCCGGCCCGGCCACAGCTGGAAAGTTTTCGAAGATGGGTAAATGCTTCTGCTCACACTTGCTTTGAAACACATTTGGCAAGCAAAGGTTTTGGCTTTGCACCAGCAGATCGTAGGCAGGTTCAGTTTCTGCCCGTTTGAAGTGGAGGTAAATGTCAAGTGCAACAGTACTGGGCGAGTATGCAGTGGCTGATCCGTCGATGATGCTGAGTGCTATATGCCCGGTGTGCCACAGCCTCGTCTGAGCGCCCCCAAACAGTTCGTGCAAAGCCCTTCGAGCTTTCCCGTAGCCAGGCCCACGACGCAGTTTGACACGGTGGTTCCATATGGTCTCAGTGACATTTAACAGCTTGTGGTAGTCTGTTTGCAGATCTGCCTTCAAACTCAACATGTGGGCGTGCAAGTTTGCCAAGAGGGCGGTATAGCCAGAAAAGCAACCACAGCAAATGTCATGGAGAGCTACAAGCACGTCTGAGTCATTGCGCGGCAAAGTCTGGTCACAGTCATCACAAAGGGTAGCCGAGGTCAGGTCAAAACCGCGAAGGTGCTGTAGAGCCTTCAGCACCACACGGGGCTTGCAGGGTTCTCGGAACTCCGGAAGGTCTGTGACCGCAACCGCAAAGGAAGCACGCATGAGAATGCGAAAGAAATGGAACATTGCAGCGTTCCGGCACTTCTCGGCAGGGGCACAAGCCATTCACTGTACAAAAACTTAAGCTAAAGCTAAAGACACTTCCTCTTTGAACGATAAGCGCTTAACTCGAAAGCCAGGTGGGTTGAGACACGGTATACACTGGTTTGCCTAATGCCAACACACAACCTATCTATCTCCACATAGGGTTGGCCAAAAAGTCAGTACTTGCAGTTACTTGCATCCATTCAACTTGGGACTGCCTGGGACTTCCTGAGCCTGAGCCTGAGCCGACAGCTTCGGAGAAAGCGGGATACCTTTCTCGGAGTTTGCCAGAGCGACCCCAACCCAGTCCTTATGGGACAAAGCCGGTGGTATGCACCGAACGTCTCCTCTTTCGAACGCGTCCTGAGTATGCACAGCACCAACCTCAAACGATGGCAGCTGGCTTAGACTTGCCAGAAGTGCAGCATGGGATCAAATTGCCGAAGGCCACAGAAAGCTGCCTGTCTCACGCAGGTTCGGGTACTGGATTACCCGATCATGCAATGCAGGAAGCTGCGAGCTGGACACGAGGACGGGAACAGATCCAAAGCAAAGCACGGGCAAACCACTTCGTTGAGGCGAAAGGTGAAGACAGCGCCGAAGTCCAACATTGCGAACGTGGTTCTGGGCTGAGAAAAGAAGCCTTCGCTGCAAGGGCTGACTTTTGATACTGTGTTGGAACAGGCTGTAAGTCTAAAGTGCAAGGTGATGTGGGTTGCCGGGGCGAGAAGGCCAAATGGACATACCCAGTCGTATTTTTATGATGAATCCCGTAGCAACAGTCAACGATGTATATTCCCGATCGCGACCCTCACTATCACCCTGTGGCAAGCGGCTGCGAAAGTGTGACCCACTACCGCGAAACGTCGGCTTCACACACAAAGTGCTGGTGGCACACCTGCATAAGGCCAGCTCTTGCTGAAGCCTCATGCATGCATTGACACGCTTCATCGTCCCAATAAATTCAATCGAGGCACCCGCACTTAATTCCGCCTACTCCATGGCAAAAACATTGAAGATTCGCTCACTGCCCCGAAAGCTTGAAGCACGAAGCACGGCCAGGGAAGTGTTTAAGCAAGTCAGACATTGGCAAACCTTCGTCCCATGCGGCCTAGCAGTTGGCCCGAGGCGGACTTGCGTTTTTGCAACACTACTGGCACATGCGGACAAACGAGCCAGGCCAACCGGAGTCTCTCCACTGGGCCTGATGCTTTCTGGCTGGAGCTTGCAGTCTTATGATGACCAAACCCGTTCTGAAGCTGGGCAATTGCGAAGGAGCCTGAAGTCTCAATAGGTTGAAACCTCAGACAATGACTGCAGGACCCAGATCGCCGAAGTTTGTGTCATGAAAAAAATAAACATTGTAAACAGCTTCCAGGGGCAACATGCCTCGCTCTGTTGCATAAGCAGGATTCTGAACTGAAAAGACATACAGGTGGTAACAGAATCCATCAACGAAATGTATGTAATGAGAACACCAGACTCTGTGGAATCGTACGGGCCGCGGAAAATTGAACCAGGACTGCAAAGTGCATGCCAGCGCAAGGCAAACTAATGCACAAATCCCCTCTACGCGCATGCCAATGCAACCCCGGAGCCCGACAGCAAACGCTAACGGACTGGAACCTCTCACTTGCCGACCGGGGCAAAAACTAAATATCGGAGGATGGCGTTCGTGGAACCTGGCAGAGCAGTCAGCCGCGACTGAAAAGCGGTCTGGTGGTCTTCCCTCGTACTGCCATGTTGAAATGCCAGTTTTCATGCCCGTACAATGAAGTGAGAGGTGAGTGCTCCCGTGCCAGCCGGGTCGCAAATCACAGTGTGCCTTGCTTAAAGTCTGAGTGGATCGGCCAGTTTACCGCCTAGCCTCTGCTAAGCTATAGGCTGTGTTGCGCAAGCTCGACTCTCACAGGCTCGCACCAGGCAAGATCTGGGTAAGTCTGGATAACTCTGAGCGACTATAACGATCCTTTGCACGTGACGCTCAGCAGCTCAGTACAGTCCAAACCAACCCAACACCTAACAACCATGACCACCAACAACAAAATACCAATCACCAAACACTGAAGTGAGTCACCTAAATGAGCCAGCTTGATGTTCCCAGGCCCCGACGCACGATGGTACCTGACGGTAGGTGGAGCTCCTTGGTGGTCCCAGGAAACGACTCTTATGCTGTGGTGAAGCGTCGAATACCGTAGGAGGAACACCTGAAAGACATTTCTGCCTTTACGTTGCGATCTAGCTACAACTTCTGCCTGAGTTCAACACCCTGAACCAGCTGCAGTCCCGGAGCAGGCTTGACGAGGCCACAGGGTGTCTTCCCCGCACCCGGCTTGAGATCCACCTGGAATCAAGCTTTCAAGCGACTCATCGCACTTGTGTCAGCTTCGTCTTGTGGGAGACACGCTTGGGATACAGGCCGGAAACGGACTGCTACTTACCATGCGCATGCTGATGCATGACTCGGCCGAAGTCGTGGTAGACTGTTGAAGTGACAATAAAACTAACAGGGATTGAGAGGAGGATGCTACCATATGGTCATGCAAGCTCGCTCCAGGGGATCTTTTCTGCGCTTGCATACTGACCCAACACCATGCCTGAACAAACCTTCGCAGGGCTGCAGCACTCAAGGTGCTTTGGCCTTACTGCGTTGCATGTTCTGGTGTAGCACGGGTCAACGCCGACTAAGACATCTGCAGCACCATTCGGTGCTTGTGTCGGCGGTGAATTCTAAGAAGGGCTACCTCGTGCATTCCCATGCCGGCTGCCCGCAGAAGTACATTGTGTATGTTCTACATGGCGCAGTGCAGTGTTGCTTGCACTTCCGTCTGCATGCAACAAACTTCGGAAGACTGCCTACAACCGCGACCTATCTTTCTTGGTTTACAGCTTCAGGCCAACGAACAATAAGGCTTTCGGCTTCACAGGAGAAGGCTGGGGTGGGTAAAGGTATGTAAACATGTTATAGAGGAGCTTAAAGCTTGGCGATGCAATCAAGACATGATTACGCTACATGCCCCAGCGCAGGTCCTCGAGGCATTTGCTGTCAGTCCCGCTTACTGGCTGCATGCCGTGGGGTTGCAGTGAATTGCCACTGTTCAGGACGCAGCGTCCCTGCACAATTGCCAAACTTATGGCAGTCTGCGGCGTGAGGGCTGTTACTGCAATCAGACCAGCCGTGATAGATGTACTGCCAATAATTTCTGTCCCGAGGTCAGTCCTCATCATGTTGTAATGCAGAATGGATGCAAAGCTGCCACGATCGCAATTTGGACCTTAGATTGGCACCCTGCTAATCTGCCACTGTAGCATCTGTGCAGAATGAGCCAACACTGCTCAAAGCTAGCTCGCAGGCGCCAGGATTCATTCATTAACTCGAAGCTCGAAGCCCAGCGGAAAGTGCACACTGTCGGAACGACGCTGAACATGTTGAAACTGTTGGCAGTAGTCAAAATGTGCTTCACAACTTGAAGTTCGGAAGACAATTATGCGCTCAATCCCCAGAACGTCTTGCTGCGTGGTGGCTATCGAGCTGAGACGGCTCTGGCTTGAGACGGGCCTGCAGCACACGTCGTCGCTGCGCAACTGAAGCGGGCTTCGCGGGACACTGACTTGCTGCCCGGAATCCTGGAATAGATCGAATGCGGGAGAAGCACGTGGGAGTAGTAGCAGCAGCAGCAAAAGGACAGGAGCAGGAGCAGCAGCAGTAGCAGTGGTAGCAGCAGTACGTAGCAGTCGTAGCAGTCGTCGTAGTAGTAGTAGTAGTAGCAGTAGTAATAGTAATAGAAGTAGTACTACTACTACTACTACTACTACACTACTACACTACTACTACTACTACTACTACTGGTACTACTAGTACTAGTACTAGTACTAGTACTACTACTACTACTACTACTACTTCTACTA